GAATGAATAAACGTGGGAGGGGAAGGGAGGAAATGGGAGGGAGGACGATTGAGTGGAAGTACAGGGGGCCATAAAGGAGATATTTAGGGGATGATTTAGGTATTTAGATAGAATAGGGGAAATACTCCTTTAGATCCATTAGGTCCGGACTGAAGACCTGTGAGGAAGATTGTAAAGAAAAGAAGTAAGGGGGTTAGGGGTGGGAAAGGAAGCATACGTGTCAAATTGGTCCCCTGTGGCTGCTGCCCAACGAGCTGGGCTCTAGGTCTTTCTGTGAACGAATTTGGGCTCAGGATTTGGACTTGACCTCCCTTATCTTAGTCCTCCCTGAGGAGATTTGTTTGGAGGGTCTTCTTTCACTTCACATTTTATTTCCCTTCCCCTCCTTGCTCCTCTTTTTCTCCCTTTTCTCTGTCATGTTTTTCTCTCTTCCTCTTTTCCCCCCTTTTTCCCTTTCCCTTTTCCATTCTCTCTTTTCTTCTTTCTTTTCTCCCCTGCTGGTGACTGACTCTTGGGGCCATGGGGCTGGGTCAAGACAAACAGCCTGTGCTCCCTGCCCACCCTAACCTCCCCGCCCTTCTTGCCAGCTGAACCCAGTTACATCTAAACCTGCTCCCTCACAGCTTACCCAACATACCAGCCTCATTGCAACACTTGGAGGAGAGGAAGGCAGGGGGTGTGGAGTCTGGTTGTGTGAGTGTAAGGGTGTGTTGGAGTACAGAATGTGGATGGGGGGGCGGGGAGTGAGTGTGGGGGTATGTGGGTGGGAGTGAGTGACTCTGTGAGGAGGTGTTCGGGTGTGTGTCTGCTAGTGCAAGGGCTCCAGGAGGGAACAGAGAACTCCACATGGGAATTAATGTCATTCATACACCCTGCGGAAATGACTTTTCAAATGCATATAATCTCAAGCATGCAAATGAGAGGCTTGCTTCACCCTGTTTAATATGAATGATCGGCCCTTGAATAGCTATTATTACACGCCACATTGCAGCAATTATGTTGTTCACTGGTTGTCTTCTGCACCCCCACCCCCAAAAAAGGGGGGGGCAGAAAAGAAAGGGAGCTCTAGGCTTTCTTCCCTCTTCCTCTTTCCCTGTGGCTTTCTCCAAACTTGTATTACCCAGCTGTTTGATTAGTGACTCAGTAGTGCTTGTGTGTGTGCGTGTGTAAATACATATGTCTACGTGGGGGGGGGGGATTGACCTCTTCCTTCCTAGGAGGGCAACTCTTGGATCCTTCTTCCACATGTCTCAGATTCTGCCCACTGGACCCTGAACCCCAATAGAGTTTTGAGTGTCAGCATCAGCCGGGAAGATGAAGGCCTGTGAATTGCCCCCCTCCCTTTCCTTCTTCATTCCCCAATCACATTTTCGTCAGGCCTGGTCTTGAGTCTGGGAAGGAGTGGAAGGCCCTGCAGTCTGGCCGGTGGTGGCCAGAGGTAGGGGTCAGCTCTCTTGGTGTGAGCTGAGCCTGTGGAGGAAGGCCACAGAAGTCCCATCAATCACACCTCAGCTGCTTGCCCTCAGGCTGACACCACCATTAAGGCTGGTGACCAGAGTGCTCAATCTCTTCCAAACCATCACCCCTATCAGGGCCAGGCCCCTGCCTCTGCTGCAGCCCCCAGCCAAATAGCCTCAGCCCCCCTCCCCCTGGGGTGACAGGAGGCTGGTCTGGGTTGTAGCACAATGTGAGCGTGAACCCACAGGGAAATTCACAAACATAGGAGCAACAAGCACATGGATACATACACACACACACACACACACATACACATACACACACACACATACACGCAATAGGGACACAGACATAAATCCTTATGAATGGATGTGGTCATTTTCTCTTCATTACCTCCCTGTTACCAACCAAATAAAACTCACTCCTTAACCTGGCTTTCAAGGCCTCTCACAATCTGTTGCCACCCTTCTGTATTCTTCCATATTCTTCCTTCATCCAAACTGTATCATGTACCTTCCTTCTTTCATGCCCCGGTGCCTTTCCTTATATGGCTGTATATGTTTTGCCCTTTCCACCTGTTGAATTCTTAACCATTCTTTCAAGCCCGATTCAAACCCCAAAAGTCTTCCCTGATATCCCAGGTTGTTAATGACCTTTCCTACTGGTGACTCAAACTTTGCAGCTCCCTAGTACACTTATGTGGGACATCGAGGGAGCCTGGAGTCAGAAAGACTCATCTTCCTGAGTTCAAATCAGACATCAGACACAACCCTGTTTGCCTCAGTTTCTTCATCTGTAAAGTGAACTGAAGAAGGGAATGGCAAACCACTCCAGTATCTTTGGCTAGAAAACCCCAAATGGGCTCACAAAGAGTGAAATGACTGAAACAACTGAACAAGTACACTTACAAATTATTTTCTATTACAATTATCTGGGTATGGTCAGGATCATAAGGCTTATAACTGGGATGGACTTTAACGATCATCTAGTCCAACCCCCTACCTTTACAGATGAGTGAACTGAGGTACAGGTAGAGTAAATGACTTACCTAAAGTTGTATAGCTCATTAGGAACAAAGCTAGAACTTCACTCCAGGTCCCTTGATTCCAAATCCAGGGTGCTTTCCACTACATTTCATGTCCTCCTAATATTCCCTGTGAGTCTAGAACAATCCAATCTAACCCTTAAAAAAACACTTATTAAGCACCTACTATGGGCAAGGTACAAAGCTAGATTTTAGGGACACAAAGCAAAATGAAAATCACTCTCTGTCTTCAAGGAGTTTGCATTGTACTGGTAGGATACAATGTGTAAACATATTCATATACACAAATTTGCTTGAGGTGGGAAAGAGAATAAATAAATAATGGGATCAAGAAATTCAATTAGGAGGTGGCACATGAGTTGACCTTTGAATGGAGCTAGAGAAATGGAGATGAGGAGGAAGTATATTCTAGGCATGGTAGAAAGGCTAGGCATGAAGAATATAACCTATATCAAATTTAGGAAGACGGGAGGGAAGGGAGAAAAAATTTGGAACTCAAAATCTTGTAAAAAAATGAATGCTGAAAATTGTCTTTACAAAAAACTGGGGAAAATGAAATATTATTTAAAAAGTACAGTCTTTAAAATTACAAAGGCAGGAGATGGAATGCTGAGTTTGGCCTGTAGCAAGTAGAGCTGTTCATGGTACCATAAACCAAAGACCTTGGACCTTGGAACCGATCTAGTCCAACCCCCCCATTTAACCATTGCAGAAACTGAGATCCAGGGAAATTAAGTTGGCCTGGACAATAGGAGAGGAGGTGAGGAGGGAGGTCCTGTCTTATCTAATCTCTTCCCCCTCCCAACCCCAGTACCTAGTACTGTACTTTGCACACAGTAGGTGCTTAATACTTGTTTGTTGAGTTAAAGTGTAGCACCTAAAATCATAGGATTATAGATTTAGAGATGGGAGGAATCTTAGGAATCCAGTCCAACCTCTCCAGTATACAGATGAGAAAACTGAGGCCCAAGGAAGGGCAAATGACTTGCCCAAAATTACACATTACTAAGTAAGAGCCACAGGATTCAAACTCGGCTTTTGCTTCCAAATCCATCACTCTCCCCATAGAATTTGACCTGAAGGTCTCCCCAGTCCTCTCACATCTCAGTGACAAGGGTCATCTACAAAGACAGAAACCTGAACCCAGCAGTTCTAGGTTAACCAAAGAAAGGCTGGGAATTTCTCCTTTCAGGGAAGAGGGAAAAATCCTGAGGCCATAGCTTTGGCAGAGGCTTGAGTTGTTGATGTACCCTCTTAATATTTGACCCTTTTCCAACTGTTCATTCCCTAATTTTCTATGAAGCTATCACAAAACAAGATTGGAAGAACAGCCCTCTGTCCTAGGTGTCCCAGGTTCTAAATCAGAGACCCTGGGGAAAGACATATCTGGCCCTTTCCCCAAAAGAAAAGTGTGATTATGGGAACAGTTTTGGAGAAGCAGGGAACAGTTCTATGAGCTGGTATAATTTGGAAGGGTAGTGGCACACTTCTCTTCTCCTAGATATATGGAGACAGCCTGATAGAATGGAAAAATCCCTGAATTTTGGAGTCACAGGACCTAGATTAAAATTCCAACTATGCTACTAATTAGTTGTATGACAAGTTACATGTATCATTAACCCCTCAGGAACCTCAGTTTCCTTACCTGCAGAATAGAATGGGGAAGGAGAAGAGAAGAAGGCTCTGACTCTTTTTTATTAATTGTATCCCCATCACTTAGCACAATGCCTGACACATAGTAGGCACTTAATAAATGTTTATTGGATTGGTCAGTCTCTAAAGTCCATTCTAGGCCTTAATCCTATAATTTGGTTTCTACCCCCCCCATGTTAATTTCCAGGGGTGGCCAGAGTCCTTAATTTCTTCCTATCACCCTCTCCCTCCTCCCCCACCTCCATGCCACCCCCCACCCTCACACACTTTGAACTTCTTCCTCCTGTGAATTTTTGAGGAGAGTCAGTTGGGAACAGGGCTGGGCAGGCCTGGAAAACAGTTCATCTAAGCTCCTAAGGGCCTTATCCTAGGAACTGGAGCATATAGAAGTTAAATAGGTTTTTAACAGAGAGTAGGAGAGTAATGCCATCGCTCCTTTGCCTTCCCCCTACTCAGCCCTTCCCAGTACTGGGGTCTCCACAAGCCTAGTAGAAGACTAGGGATGGGAGACTCACCTAACACCAGCTTCATCTGGGGATGCCTCTCTTCTCATTCCTCCCCACCCCCACTTCTTCCTTGGCATGGGCTTGGAGGTTGGGGAGCTTCAGGCCAAGAGGGCGGAGGCTACAAGCAAGAGGATGTCTGCCTGCAGAATTTGGGGGAGGGGGTTATATGGGGTGGGGGTGGTGCTTGAGAAGCAGACTCTAGTTGGGGCATGTGGGTATCAGGGACAGAAAACTGCCTTGGGATCGAGAGCCAGCCCTGCCGGTCCAGCTCCCGAGTCTCAGCCCCTCCTCTCTTCCCTACCCCCCCCCCCAATCCCCGTCCCCATCCCCATCTCCAGGTCCCACTAGAGCGACATGATGGTGGAATCCGCCTCGGAGACAATCAGGTCGGCCCCGTCCGGTCAGAACGGAGTCAGCAGTCTCTCCAGCCAGAGCGATGGTGGCGGTGGTGGCGCTGGAGCCGCAGGAACTGTGACAGGAGCAGGAGGAGGAGGAGGAGGAGGAGGAGGAGCAGGGAGGGATGGAGGAGCCGGCGGGGAGAGCAACGGCGAGATGAGCCCTGTGGAGCTCTTGCACTTTCAGCAGCAACAGGTAGGAGCCGTCTCTCACTCCCCTTCCCCCACCCCAGCTCCGTTCCCCCACCCCCACCCCCTTATTCATTCCCCCCTTCCCGTTTCTTCTCCATCCGTCTGTCTCCTCTGATCTCTCAGGCTGGGGGGAGGGGAAAGAAGGAGGAGAACTGGGCCTTACTCCCACCCCTGGCTTAATGAGGAGGGAGCTTCAGCCCAGTGACAAACTGCCTTTCTTCCATCCCTCCGGCCTCATTTCCCTGATCTCGAAAAGGTCCAATCTTCTAGCGCCCCTGCCAGGCACCCGCTACCATTTAGTCTCCTAGGTGGCTGGGAACTGGCAGAGGAGATGGGGCCCAGGGGGATGGGTTAAGTCTAACTTCAAGGAGGCTCCCTTTGGGAGGAAACTCTAGGGGGTGGGGCTTGGATGGAGCCTGAATTGACTGGAGAGTTACTGTGCCCTCACCAGGGAACTGGAAGGACCAGAGTCTGTGTGCACTTTTAGCATGAGTGGATAGGTGGTTTAAGGACCATGGGGCTCTTTTCCTGGGTATTCTGTGATTGAGGCTGCAGGGTAGGGATCTGCCTACTTTGATCTTCGCAGCAAGGTATAGTGAAAAGAAGACTCGGGTTCAAATCCCAGCTCCACCACATACTGTCTGTGCAATCTTGGATGAGTCACTTCTCCACTCTCAGGGTCTGTTTTCTTGTCTGTAAAATTGGGGGGGGGGGAGGAATGTTTTGGCACCTAAGGTACCTTCCAGCCCTAAATCTATGATCACATGAACTATAATCCTAAATCTCTCTGGCCAGGACCCTACCTCTTTTGTCCCCTCAGGGTTCCAGGAGGCCCAGGAATCCACAGATAGTGTGGTCCTTGTAGCCTGGAAGAGGCCTCCACTTGCAGTTCTAGGTTGCAGGTTTGGGGTAGGGTAAGGGAAGATAAAGGATTTAGAATTAAGCGTATCCAGTGTATTCCCCTCTTGTGAGGGTGGGGCAGAAACAACGTGCAGCCCTTTCATTTCATCCACCTAAGGAACTCTTCAATCAAGGAAATTCTCTCTACCAATAAAGATGGGTACCTGTCCTACAGCTTATTGTCTCAGAGACTTTTCTAGAAAACTCAGGGGTTAAGTGACTTGTCCAGCCAGTGTGTGTCAGTAACTCAGTTAGTAAGCACCTACTATGTGCCACTGAGCTAAACACTAGGAATATAAAAAGAAGAGTAAAAGACAGTACCTCCCTTCAAGGAGCTTACAGTCTAATGGGAGAGACAACACTCAAACAACTATGTACAAAGAAGTTATATACAGGATAAATAGGAAATAAGTAACTGACTGAAGGCAACTAGAATTAAGAGGGGCTGGGAAAGACTTCCTATAGGACATGGCTCTGAAATCAGAGCTTTCTAATTCTAAGGTCAGTGCTCTGTCCACTGTGCCACAATACTTCTTGAGTACCTCATTTTTGAGAGATCAAATTCATGGGGATCCTCTGGGGCTCCTCTCTGTTTGAATATCACCCCTACTTTCATATCCTGTTCCCCCTTCCAATTATGCCTGCCCCCCTTTCCCATACACACACCCTATTTCCTGTAAATAATTAAGGTCAGAGCTGAGTCTACAAGACAGTTAAGAGCCACTGACACTGCCCAGTGAGCTCAGCTGTATGTATAATGACAAGGCAGGGGCCCCAGGTCTCATGGGTTGGGGAAAAGAGGGAGAATCATGCTTTTCTTGTTTGGGGAAAACCGGCTGGGCCAGCCCTCAGCCTGGGATTCTCCTTCATTTATTTGTTTTTGCTTCTCCCATCTGAAGCTGCCCCTGTTAGCCCTGATGGCTTCAAGGTGAATGTGGAAATAAAAAGATGTGAAAAGGGAGGCACACCCCTGCCTTTCAAGGCCCCAGCTGAGGCCCCAGCCTGTCCCCTCCCCATTCACTCCACTGTCACCACCACCCCCACCCCCCAACCCACTCCAACCCAGGACACCAGTCCTGCCCACTCTGAATCACATTTCATTGATTCTGAAGGACCCTGAGAGAAAATTATAGGCTCCTGGAACCCTCAACTTTGAATTGCAAGAGATTTTAAAAGTGATTTAATCCACCACCACCCTCTCAATTTACAGATAAGAAAACTGAGGCCAAGAAAGAGAAAGTAAATTGCCTAAAGTCACTCAGCTAATTTTAGCTACAAGAATAAGCACTGGAAACACATCTCCTGACTCTCAGACCATTGTTCTGTCCTGGAATGGACCTTGGAACATAAAGTATTAGACACAGAAAGTCAGAGCCTGGAGGACATCTTCATAGGATCTTAGATCTAGAACTGGAGGGACATTACAGGCCATCTAATCCAACCCCCCTCATTTTACAGATGAGGAAACTGTGGTTCAGTGACTTACCCAATGTCATACATGCAGTAAACATCAGAGGTGGGATTTGAACCCAAGACCTCTGATTCTAAGAGCCCTTACCACTGTACCATGATGCCTCCTATTTTAGATGATCAAATGTTAGAACAAAGAACATGGAGTGTCAATGGGATGGAATCTTAAAGTCATCAGATCATAGGCTTTGAGCTGCAAAAAACCTTGTAGGCTGTCCAGTTTGCTTCATTTTACAGATGAGGAAACTGATTCACATGGAGGTTAGTGACTTGTCCACGGTCATGCAGGTAGCTGGTTGGTTGTTGACCTTCATTCTCGAAGAGGACTAAAGACAGTACCTGCTAAGCTAGAGTCAAGTTACAATGTGTCCGACTGTGGCTGATCAGACCAATGTGAGCTTGGAATGCTCTTTCTGTCACAGATTGGGCACAAATAGCCCGTGGGAACATTTGAAGTGGATTCTCTAAATTTGCACATCTTGAGTTTCTTTTGAGAAACCGGTAGTAACCATCTTAGAATATAGAATGTTAAACACAGAACATAAGGGGCTCTCAGAATGTACAAAGTTATAACAAAGAACATGGGAGGGGGGGAGTCAGTAGATAACGAAGGCTTCTTCAAGCATCTAGATTCTAGGCCAGCTCTCCCACTTCCCCCATTTTACACAGATGGAAACTGAGGCACAGAATGGTGAAGTAACCAGCCTAAGGTCATCTTGTACCACTGGAGTGGATATCAGATGAACACACAACTTCTGTGAAAGAAATCATCACCTTTCCTAGTACCATTTGATGCTGGAAGGGTTTGAGGACTGAAAAAATAATTTTCTTTTCCCTAGTGCTTGGAACAGAACAAGAGATGTTTCCAAGCCCCCCTCTGCCATTTTAGGGGGGTGTAGTGTCTGTTAGTGTCTCGGAGTGTCCCTAAGCAATGCTCAAAAGTCCCAGTAAGAGAAGGGCTCCAAGAGGCATTGTGGGAACCCTGGCATCAGAGCCTCCTTTCTCCTGGGGAGCAAGAAGCAGAAACTCAACTGGTTTTCCCCATAATGAAAGTGCAAATGTTCCCTACCCCACCCCTAAATAGACAAACTTTATATCAAAACAAAATAAAAAACAAAGCACTCCTACTCCAAAAAAAGTCCCCCAATCCGCACCCATTTTTACATGGCTATATATCCCTTCTGGCAAGGGTTACTGCACCATGCTCCCTCTCCCCCTCCCTCCAGTGCCAGGAATATTGAATGCAAGGGGAAATTATCACCTAGGGCAAAGTCTTATTTTAAAACATTTATTTAGTATTTGAAGAAGTACCTCTTGCTTTGAGGAGCACCAATAAAGTAAAGTACGGACACAATTATCTAGATAATTTAAGTCTGTCTTCTCAAAATCCCCCCCAATTGTAGCTATGGAGGGCCTGAATTACTTGGATTAGCCATATTTAAAGAGGCAGTCTGGTATGGTTGCCCAGTCAGATGAACCGGGTTCAGGTGACATCCCTGCCATCTCTTACCTGTGTCAACTTTGGTGGATGACTTTCCATCTCTGAGACTCAGTTTCCTGATTTGTAAAATGGTGATAATCAGACAACCTACCAAATGAAGTTGTGGTGGGAGGTAAATGAGATGTTATATGTAAAATTGTCTTTTAGGGTAAACAATATGAAAAGGAAATGGCAAACCACTCCAGTATCTTTGCCAAGAAAATCCCAAATGGGGTCACCAAGAGTGGGACATGACTGGAAAGACAAGAGTTGCCAACTGTGTTGTAAGATTTAGAGCTGGAAGGGACTTTAGAGAGCATAGAGTCCAAGGCCTTCACTTAACCACCTAGGAAACTGAGGCTCAGAAAGGGGAAAAAGGATTGTAGTAGGGTTAAAACTTGAACCTAATTCTTTTGACTCAGACCTAGTGTTCTTACCTCTACACCACATGGTGCCTCATTTTCTAGTGAAGTTTTCAGTTTTCCTCTTCAAGACAGCTATGTATACACAGCCCATGTGTATGTGTTCTGTTTATTCCTGTTTTTGTTTTTCTTTGGATTTTTAAATGGCCCAATGCCCTAGGCAATCCTTCTGTTTCCCAAATGTGATGCACAGGGTGGGGCCCCAGCTAACCACAGCCCAGTGTGTGTGTGTGTGGGGGGGGAAGGGAGTGGAATGGGGTTAGGGAGGGGAGGAGAAGGTTGGAATATAGATTCCATCACTCCTTCCCTCACTGCTTTTTATTAGGGCTACTTGGGGAACCTTAGGTCCTGAACTCTCTGGGACCCATATAACCCCTTCAGCTCATTGCCATGGGAATTAGCCAAGCAGAGGGAAGTGTGGGAAAGAAACCCTGGTAGCTGCCCCAGGGACAGGGCTCCTTCTTCCTTCTCCCACTCCTTTATCCCTCCTCCACTACCCCTTCCCATGCTCCGGCATCTATGAGGAAGTCCTTGGAGGCCTCTGTATTAGCTCTTTCCTTAAATAAATAAATAAATACATTATGTCTCTATAGAGCTGAAGCTTTCACATACATGATCTCATTTGATCCTTTCAGATAGGCATTATTATTTCCATTTTATAGATGAAGAAACTGAGGTCTGGAGATGTTAAGATACTTACCCATAGGCCTATTGCTAATTAGTGTCAAAGCT